CTTTCTTTCTTTCTTTCTTTCTTTCTTTATCTCTCTCTCTCTCTTTCTTTCTTTCGACAGGCAGAGTGGACAGTGAGAGACAGAGACAGAGAGAAAGGTCTTCCTTTGCCGTTGGTTCACCCTCCAATGGCTGCTGCAGCCAGCGCACAGCGCTGATTCGATGGCAGGAGCCAGGTGCTTCTCCTGGTCTCCCATGGGGCGCAGGGCCCAAGCACTTGGGCCATCCTCCACTGCACTCCCTGGCCATAGCAGAGAGCTGGCCTGGAAGAGGGGCAACTGGGACAGAATCCGGCGCCCCAACCGGGACTAGAACCCGGTGTGCCGGCGCCGCAAGGCGGAGGATTAGCCTAGTGAGCCGCGGCGCCGGTCCAAATAAGCACTTTCCTAAGACCTGATGGTGCCAAATCATTCCTCCCCTGGATTGATTTCATCTCTCATTCGACAAACAGGAATGGAATGTATGCCCTGTGAAAGGCAAGTGCTAGCAATGACCAGAGCAGGTATAACAACCGCACTGTCATGGAGCTCCCGTGGCTGGAGACACAGACATTAAATAATGAATTAAACTATTAACCTATTTTCTTAAAATTATGAGAAACACAAAAGAAAAGCATAGGATGATATGGAAACAAGTAACAGAGGTGCCGGTTCTATTTTTGGAGGACAATGCAGACGTCTTTCCTGAAGTGATGTTTGAGCGAGTTCTGAAGGGTGAGTGGGAGAGAAGAGTTGTTGGAAGAGGAAATGCTCTGTGAAATGTCAGTGCCCCTGGGGGAAGACGTGTTTTCGCAGAAGAGAGAAAATTTGTGAACACAGCCACAAATGCAGGAGATTGAGAAAACCTGACTCTTAATATTCACTACCCTGCTCCCTCCTGGAAGTGGAATGATAAAAGGGATGAAAAGGAGTTGATGCAAATCATTCTTTTAAATTGTATTGGTCAACTTAAAAAATGAGAATATAGTTATATTTTGCTGGTTTTCAAAATTAAAAGAAGTGGCCTGTGCTACTGTTTGTTCTAGGAGGTGAGATATCATTATAGACCAAGACAGAAAGTGGATGGCTCAGGTGAAAATTTTTCCTCTTACCTGGTGTTAATCAGTATTAAAAGCCAGCAAGCATTTCATGAGCATTTTTCCTGGAATATATATTTTTAGTTAATTCTTTCCTCTTGGTTAAATTTTAATTAAGTGATTTTTCACTCAGACATGGAAATGTACTGTCTATGTATTTACAGGTCCTCCTAGTCACCATAATTAGATGATCTCTTGGCCATCTCACTTTTCATCCGCACTCAGGAATACTGGTTCCTTTGGGAAAGCTTGACTTAGACCAAGCAGATGAAGTTGATTGTATGGAAATTCCTTTATGATCAATTGTCTGCTTCCCTTCATCCCTCATTTCTAGCCACAGGAGTCACCATTTATAAAACTTACCAAGTGTGCTGCCCTATTCATAACTCATGTCTAGCACACAGGTCTCTCAGGGACCACACTCATACTCTTCAAGCCCAACATCTGTCCCTTCCACATCATCCTTGACTTTGCTATATTCTCAGTTTTGCCATCACACTGGACCGTGCATCCCTTGCCATTCCAAAATCTTTGTGATAAAGGGGCTGACTTGTCTTCTAACTCCAGATTGCAACTTTGAGGCATCTATTAATAAGCATTTAATGGATTTTAAAGCAATGTATTCCAAGTTCTAAAGACTCTGATTTGGTGCCCAGAGCAGCCCTGGTAGATTATTTCTATCACAAATGCATGATTTCTTTCATGGTTTCCCAGTTGGATAAAACATGGCTCTGGAACCAGAAGACGCCAGATAATGGTCTTACTCTCTCCATTTGTTAAGTGTGGGAGACTCCACTTCTTCCATTAAATATTGCAAAATATCCAAAATACCTTCGGTCAGTGGTTGCTGATGCATACCAGTCTTTCTGTATTACAGAGTTGTAGTAAACCTCATCTTTAGTCTCTTCTTTCATAAAGATCCTTGATCTCACGGAGAGAGGGAACTTCACATTAAAAGTTCCTACCACACCTCATATTCCTTCTTTCAAAGTCCCTATTTCTCTGGTTGATGGTGACTCACTGCTGTCTTTTTCCCTCCCAACCTCATGTCCACTACGTTTTGTGAGGGCAGGGACTGTGACTGTCTTGTTCAGGACAATGTCACGACTAGCACAGAGTTGGTATCCTGCAAATGAATAACGTAAGCGGAATTGCTTCTAAGACAAGAAGGTTCTTCTGTAACAATAATTTGCATTACTATTAGTAGTGATGGTAGTAGTAGAGATACTTACAATATAAGAGAATTTCATAAAGTTAGTGGAAAATGCATATTATGAAAAACATGAGTCCCAAAATTTTTTCCATCAAAATACACTTTTTTATTTCCATTTCCCACAGCTTTTTGAAAGTCTCTTGTAGCTGGATATTAATGACATCATTACCATCAGATACAGAATAGAAGAAGAACCATGAGATAATGTTTAATATTATCAACACATTACAAATAGATAATAATAAGCAACAAGGTAAAAAGGCAACCTATAGAACTTGAGAAAATAAATGCAACCCATGTGCCTGAAAAGAGAATACCATCCAACATATACAAGGAACCCAAATAACTCAATAGAAAAAAATAAGTCAAATGACATGATTTAAATAGGGGGAAAGGACTTAAATAGATCTCTCTCCACAGGGGACGTATGAATGGCCAAAAGATATTTGAAAAGGTGCTCATCATCACTTCACCCCTGCTAGGAAGACTATTAATAAGAGGGCAAAAGATAAACGTTGGAAAAAATGTGAAGAGACAATAGCCTTTGTACACTACTAGGGACATTAAGTAGGATTGTGGGAACACAGTACAGCCCCTATGGAAAAGAGTATGGCAGGTCTTCAAAAAGTAAAGAATAGAGCTGCCAAAACACCATGTACCCAGGACAGTCCCACTTCATTTTATATGTATATATACATACATACATACATATGTGTGTATATATTTATATATATAAATAAATTATGAAATGAAATCAGTATTTCAAAGAGATAACTGTACTCCCAGGCTCATCACAGCATTACTCACAACAACAAGTTAAAGAAACAACCAAGAGTCTGTAGATAGCTGAATGGGGAAAGAAAACGTGTATACACACACACACACACACACACAGTGGAATATTATTAAGCCATAAATGAAGGAATCTTGCTATGTGCAACATGGATGAGCCTGGAAAACATTATGCTAAGTGAAATAAACCAGGCACAGACTGACAAATTCCCTATCCACTGTTGATGTGTAGAGTCTAAAAATTAGTCACAGAAAGTAGAATGGTAATTGTTTTGGGCAGGGTTGTAAGTTAGAATAGGGAGTTGTCACCCGAAGGGAACTGATTTCCAGTTGTCAGACGACTATGACTGAATAATGACTCATCCTGTAAGATGAGGACTTACGGAACAGCACACACACACACACACAGGCAGCTTGGTTGTGGTAATCATTAGACAGTAAGAGAGAGACAGACAGAAAGGTCTTTCTTCCGTTGGTTCACCCCCCAAATGGCTGCTGCAGCCGGCAATCCAAAGCCAGGAGCCAGGTGCTTCCTCCTGGTCTCCCATGCGGGTGCAGGGCCCAAGCACTTGGGCCATCCTTCACTGCACTACCGGGCCACAGCAGAGAGCTGGCTTGGAAGAGGGGCAACCGGGATAGAACCCGGCGCCCCAACTGGGACTAGAACCTGGCATGCTGGTGCCACAGGCGGAGGATTATCCTATCATGTTTAAACCTTTGACATATTTTGTTCTTTCTTAATTAGACTATTCAACTAGAAACAAAAGGAAACAAATAACTATGATACAAAATGGCTACACAAATGTAGCCCTCAGTATTAGTGGTTCAAACGCAATGTCATTTCTCCCATACCAATCCTTCTGTGCTGGAGAAAGAGAGAAAAAGAGAAAACACTTCCCAAATGATAGGGGTGGCACTGCCACATGCAAGATTTGTCTCTGCAAACCACAGAGGGTAAAGAAAATACTCCAGGAGGAAGAGCCAGTTCTCTGCTCATGAGTGGGCTGCTTGATCGTTTTCACCATTTAAGAAGATGGAAATGAATTCTGGGCTACTAGTACTGTTTTGTTCTTAATTTGGATGTTTGTTATGAGTGTGATCAGGTCAAAAAACTCAATTATCTGTGCATTTATTGATACTGTATTTCAATAAGGTATGTAAAATTATTTCTTGAATAATTTTCAACGTCAATACATGTACTATTACCTAAGTATTAATAAAAGAAGAAAAAAAATGGACAGAGAAGACACTACGGAGTGTCAAGGACACTGCTCTAATTAAGTTAATATTACTTTCAGTTACTGATGTTTGGGGGCAAGAAAGGGGAATGAAACAAGAGAAGACGCCCATGTGGTCTGCCGAAGAAGTGCAGGAGTTTATCTGGGCTACTGAGGTGCTCACAGCAGATGACGAGAGCCTGTAGCTCATCTCATCACCAGGAGACTATTGTCAGGACTACTGCTACCAACACCTCGTTGGCCACAGGTGCACTTTGTGAAGGGAGCACCTCCACATGACGTCACTCTACAAGCTTGTAGATGCAGATCAACAGACCACAGCATGGGGAAATATTCCTTCCCAGGCCCTTGGCAAGGTAATAAATTGAATTGCAACCAAGTCTGTCCACCCCCAAATAATTCAGGCCTTGTAGAAGAACACTTCACAAGATTTAACACAACAAAATTATCCATTGATTTGATACTGCTGATCAGGGAGTCATCAGACGCTCTCCAAAACCTCTACCATTTATCTTAACAAAATATGCTGAGACCTGGAACATGAGATTGAGCATTACATTGTCCCTGACTTCTGGACCATAAATGAGGGCAAATCTACAGCCTGGGGAGCCATGGGTTTCTTTCTCTAGAGTCAAAGTCAGAAAACTTTGCTGGGAGAGTTTTAGAAATGGCATCGTACTGCACCTGGAGGCAGGCTGGGGCGCGTCCCTGGGGCTTGTTGACATCCACAGCTACCAGCTGCCAGCCACCAGCAGCATCTTCATGAAACATCTTCAAGACAAAGAGGGAGATGAGTCAGAGACATTTAACCTGGAACACTGAGAACTCCAACTCCTGTCTCCAGCATTCTGTAGTTCGATGCTATCAAATTTTGTCTTTTCCTGGGTGTATATTTGGAACATGAGTCATTTCAATTATGCTCATTTTAACACTAAAACCAAAGTGAATAATAACGATTACAAGAACAATGACAATACTCACATTTATTGAGTAAATTTATTGTTTTGTGTCAGACACTTTCTACCTTACCTTATAGACTTTGCATAAAATTACTCAAAGAATCTCAACAAAGTATTTTATCCCCATTACATTAATTATTATCAGATTTGGAGAAAATGAAAATTAGAATTCTAGAACATGATGTCTGGTGTATTTTTACTCTAGGCGGTAGGCTTTTATGATCATTTAGTGGACATTCCTCATTTAGTGAATACAAAAATATTCTTAGGATAACTAAGAAATGTGCACATGGCAAAGGAAGAGACTAGTAGGAGACTGCCATCACCTGAGAGACATTAGGTGGTTATTTTAACTGGTGAAATTAATCCGCTCAACAGGTATTTTTTGTAACACATTTATGAAGCAACAAGTGGTTTGTTTTGGCTTTGAAGATGTAACTGATGACACTCCAGATCCTATAGGTCTCCTAAAATAAAATAAAATCTATTGAATTGGATGCCTATGTCTCACTGCCTATCACTCTATCTCAAAGACCATGCCTCTGTCGATGTGACACTCAGCTGGAGGGCAATCTCACTTCTATGTATTTTCTAAGATTTTCTTTCAAGTTCCTTAGGGGTGTGTGCACGTGTGTGTGTGTGTAGTAAGGGGGACAGGGTGAAGTTAAGCATTCGTACTCTCCTCAGTGAAGGCACCACCTTTAAGCACTCCTGGGTTGTTCCTCCCTGAGGTTCCTGATTGTGAAATACACAACAGTTCAGCTGCCATCCTTGTTTATGCTCCCACGCCAGCCTGACCCAGTGTCGAACAGGATAAATTGCTGATGGAAATGTGAGTGAGATGTTGCAAGAATACCATCCCCTAGAATCTATAATCATAATTTTACAAAACTCGCATCAGGAATGGTGGCAGATCACCTGTGGAAAGCGAACTTGCTCTCCTTGAAATAAGTAAGACGGTGAGAGACCTGGGCCAAAATGCACAGGCCACATACATGTTTTAAATGACAAAATCAAGGTGCACATTAACACCAAGATTCTTGGGCCAAACATGCCAGTGGCCAACTGTTTACCTCACCTCTTGCAGGATTCTGATTCCCTTTGAAATGAACTTTAAAGTTATTCTTCGTGATGGAATCAAGCATCTTCTTCACAATTAGGTCATTCTGAGAATGCACACATCTGTGGAAATGCAAATCTGCTAACTTGCCTTTTAAAGTCCTTGTGAAAACTTCTGGGTGTCACCTTTTAAGGACAAAGGAGGAAACCAGTCCTGTCAGTCACTGGAAACCTCTGTTGATACAGCCTAAACTCTCTCATCATGGCACAAAGAGTCCCCGGGGCAAGTTTTTGCTTTGATGGGTAGCAGACTCATTTTCTCTGTTAAATTTTTTTTCCAGTGGACCAAAATCAAATGATTCAATTTAATTGTCAGTAAAAGTGTTCTTTCAAGGTCACTACGTTGTCTGAAATAAAATAAATGAAATGCAAACATGTTCAATTTCTCTTTAGTGCCCTGAATTATAAAACACCACTTTGATTGGTTAATGGTAACAGTCAGTCTTTAAGACAGAAGTTGAACTACTTTGCAGAAGCTGAGAATTCTGAAATCCTGCAGAGAATGTAACAGAGCCGCCACGTGTCCATCTATATCTATTCTCCCTGTCTTCCAGGGTAAGAGAATTTTCAACGGTGCCATTAGGCTACCCCCCCAAAAAAAAGAAGAAAAAAAAAGCTAACTCATTCTCTCTCCCTTTCTCTCTCTCTCTCTGGCTCATTTCAACCATGTAACTACATGCTGGTTTATGGGATGTAGGCAGGAACCTCTGTCTTCCTACACTTTCTCCCTCTGGCTACCTGGAATATTGATGTGAGTGTGAAAGATGGAAGGGATCTGGATTTGTGGGAACATATACAATCACCCCAACACCCAAATGGCAGCCTCCAACTTCACATAAGAGAGAACATAATTCTAATTCTACCTTACCTGAGCCATTGATTTTGGGCTTGTTGCCTTTTGCAGTCAAAGCTAACTCAACTATCTGAGCTGGTTTCAGGCAGAATACCCAAAGATGTTTTCATTTTAATGATGGAGCTCCTCCCTCTTCTTGTATAATTACACATGTTTACTGTTGAAGACTTAGAAAAGTAGCTGAGTTGTAAATGGAAATGTTCAACCCATCCCCCAGAGAAAACCACTACAAATATTTTGGAGGTAACTTTCCAGTATCTTATGCACATACAGATACGCGTCACACACATACCACACACAAAAAACAAGGGATCCTATTTTTCTGTTACTGCATTGTGAGTATATTGAATGTCAATAAATTTCAACCACTTTAAAGGTTTGTATTTATTGCAATTTTGAAACATAATCAATAATTACAGCTTGAGATTCAAATGTTACCATTTTTTCAAATTTACCAAAACACATCCATAAACATTCTCAAATATACAGCCTTGACTACTATTCAAAATCTTTCCAAGAATAAATTCTTTTTTGTTTTTTTTTTTTTTGACAGGCAGAGTGGACAGTGAGAGACAGAGACAGAGAGAAAGGTCTTCCTTTGCCGTTGGTTCACCCTCCAATGGCCACTGCAGCCAGCACATCACGCTGATCCGAAGGCAGGAGCCAGGTGCTTCTCCTGGTCTCCCATGGGGTGCAGGGCCCAAGCACTTGGGCCATCCTCCACTGCCCTCCCGGGCCACAGCAGAGAGCTGGCCTGGAAGAGGGGCAACCGGGACAGAATCCGGCGCCCCGACCGGGACTAGAACCTGGTGTGCCGGCGCCACAAGGCAGAGGATTAGCCTAGTGAGCCACGGCGCCAGCTAAATCTTTTGATATATACTGCCAAACTATCTTCTGGGAAGGATGTTCCCATTTATGCTCTGAGTAACAATGTATGAGAACATCCTTATCAGCCAGCAGTCAATGCTACCCATTTAAGAGAAGAGAAGTGAGGAGGGGGCCAGAATAGGGACATCAGGTTGATGTGGGGCTTGCTAAATTAAGAGGTGCTGTGATCTCCACATGAGTAAAACTGGAGGCTCCTGCCACTGAGCAGCCTGGCTTTAGTTCTGCCACCTGTCTGCTATGTGATACTGGGTAAGCTAATTGACTTTCCAACCCCTTGTCATTTTTCAATCAGCAAAGCAGACACAATAATAGTACCTACTTCAACAACATTATTGTGAAGGTTTACTAAGACAGGTTGTAAAGCGGTTACACAGTGCTCAGTGCAGCTCAATGTATGTTAGGGATTGTGATAAGGATTTTGAATTAGTGGATTATTATCAATAACAACACAAATGGATTTCCTAGAGCACTCGCCTCAATACAATCTTTTGGAAACGCATGGAGATTTCAGCCTTGAGAATGATCTCAGGCTTGTCTGTTTGCAATTACTAGTTTTATTATGGCTTATATAGATTACAAAGTAGTTAAGAACGCTTCCTGGATTGATCTACTACAGTCAATGTACTATGATCACAATCATCAACACCAATAACAAGTTATCTAATGGGAGAAGATGAGAAAATCTTGCTAACAGGGGGAATCAACTGCACCTAAATTAAAATTCCAAGCCCAAGATGAAAACACACATGCAGGCACACACAGAACACAGTTTGCACAGAAAATCTGAAATTTATTTTGAAATTTTTATGCTTTTTGATTTCTTTGTAAATCAATCATTTAAAAACAGATGGTAGTCATTATCACACAAAGTAAGAAGAGTGGGCACCTGGCTTGATTTCATTATTAAACAATATATTCAATGACTCAGCCTCACAGAATTTAATTCTCACTCTTGACTTGCTGTGACGACTGCATTATTCCCTCACTGCGGCTTCTTGTTGGAAGGAGATCACTACTACACCACGCTAGAATAGGTCTTCCCTGAACTGCACTCCTCACTGTAGTTGTCTTCTCAAGTTTAATGATTTATATTCATGTGGAAATCCATGTCTTGGAACACAGTCAACAAATCATTGCTGAAGAACTATCTTCGAGCATGAAGTTGTACTTTGTCTTTTTCACTTTGTTGAAGGAGAAATTCTTTCCATTTTTGATTATGTGTCTTTTCATCTATGCCTTTCTGCTTTTTTCCCTCAGCATTGCACCTTTATACAAAGGTTGCTTTAGAAACTGTAGGAACCCTTAAATAAGAATGTTGGTAGAGCCTTTTTGTCTTGCATTTGCTTTATCCTTATGAATTTTCTGTCTTAATTAGGGGATTTTAATTCAAAAAGCATGTGTCAGTGAGAGCATTCAATCAGGGATAATAACTGATCCAGAAAGTATTGCTCTCTTCATAGAATCTGAATATTTATGTACCAAACCTTCAAAATGATCCTATGGGACCATGACTCACTGACAAAGGGTGGGCCTGTGCGAGACTTCCGGAAATCTGCTTTCTCTCTCTTAATGCTCTATGGAGCAGAAAAGCAGCCCCATGTGGCCCTAAAAGTACGAAGTTCTTTCAGTTCTACTCAAGGCGACGTTGGAGTAAGCTCACCCTTAGCATGAGACAGTCTAGGGCAGAAGCCCTCAGAACTGATAACAGGCGTCTGAATCATGGGAATACAAGTCTGGATCTGAGGGTCGCTATGCTTTGATGAGACCCCTGAAAAGTTGTGGCTTGAGCGGTTGATGGGTTGATCCAGGGCATCCTTAGCCCACGGATGTGCATCTTCTACCTTCTGACCACACTCGTAACTGAGCAAGTGGAACAGTCATGTGAGTCTAAGTGTCTAAGACTGATGCAGGTATGAAGGCCACGGCCCCTCTGGAGGTGAGGCAGACTCAGGATCACCCCTCTGAGATGCTCTATGCCATTTCTCATGTTCTCCCGCCACAGACTGTGTTATGGTCTCTGCAGGGCCCCTAATATGATTTTTCTGCAGTGGGTGTCCATGCTGTGACCATTCAGTTGGAAAATGTTGCTTTGTTAGTTTAAAGAAACAATTCTCCCTTATGATTCTCTTATGCCTCTGCATGGTCCGTATCAGAATCAGTTCAGAGCCAACTGTTTATTGTCCTTGCCCTGTTAAGGTGTGTATGTGTATGTTTTCTGCATACATGGCTGTCATGAGATAGTCTACAAACTTAGAGACAACAAGTCCAGCAGGACTGAGATCCCTTCAGTGAGAATGACTTCGAACAACTGCAGATTTTCCATGTTCTGGAGAATGGCAGGAAGGTACTACATATCTGTTAAAGCTGTGTGCTTTGCACTACAATCGCCATCTTTATTTGATTTCCTCAAAGCTTGTTTCATTAGTATTAGACACCTGTGACTTGGTGTTTCCAACTACTTCGGGAAAAGCCCACGTCACAGGGTTTGGTCCTATTTTACAAATGCAGCAGACTCACCGCCAGCCTCTCCCCCTTCCACTCACAAGAAAGCTTCCTGGGCCACCAGCAAGGGGATAGTGAGGCGTGGGCGGGGCCTGAAGGCCCGTTGCTAGGTTGCCTGCCAGGGTTTCATCAAGAGGCCCACAGCAGGAGCTTCAGTTGCTTGGCAACCAGGTCCTCAGCCCCAGCATTTTTCTTAATGAAGGTTTTTCACAATTCTCTGTGTGATTCCCGCTGAATTACCGACTTATGCCTCCTGATCAAGTACAATTTTGCTTCAAAATAATCTTGAGTAACTTTGTTCAAGGTCTTTTCCCATTTAAGTTCTCTGTTATAACTGCTGGCTTTTCCAAACACTACCTTCCCAGCTGTCATTTCATACATGGAGTTATCTAATAAATGTAACAGGGTTTTAGAGATATGTTAGGTCATTGTCCAGGACAACAGTATGTAAGTTACATGGTGAGTTGTATGTTCCACGTAGATTTCCCTGTCTGCAACAGAAAACAGCCTTTCCAGAGGTTGTCACCTCAGAATGGACTTGGGAACTTACTATTTCCCGTAGTTGACTAAAAGACGTGAGAAGAGGTAGGAGCTTGATGGGGTTGAGCCCTCGAAGGCTTTTCTATGAGGCATCTATGATTTAGCCTTCACAGTATGTAAAAATCTTTCATGGAAGTTTAGATAACTGTTTGTCAAAACTGGATGACATCAATACTGTTTCATCTGTAATGAATTGGTGATAAAATTCTATTATAGCACAGAAGGCCTTCTCCAAATATTAGGATACTTAGTGGCCTTTCGACATATGATTTTTTTATTTGACAGATAGTTATAGACAGTTAGAGAGAGAGAGAGACAGAGAGAAAGGTCTTCCTTCCATTGGTTCACCCCTCAAATGGCAGCTACAGCCGGCACTGTGCCGATCGGAAGCCAGGAGCCAGGTGCTTCCTCCTGGTCTCCCATGGGGTACAGGGCCCAAGCACTTGGGCCATCCTCCACTGCCCTCCCAGGCCACAGCAGAGAGCTGGACTGGAAGAGGAGCAACCAGGACTAGAACCCAGTGCCCATATGGGATGCCAGTGCCGCAGGTGGAGGATTAGCCAAGTGAGCCACGGCACCGGTCCTGGACATATGATTATTAAAAGTCCAATTTGAAGATTTTTGAAGTCAAATTTGTTCCTTGACCTTTTCACAGATTCCTTGTCTCAACAGATCTATATCAGCATTTACAAATTTATGTTAATATCCTTCTAGAATTTATATTAAAATAATAGTTGTAAGGCATTAAATCATTTAATTCTTTTTATTTTACTTACTTGCTTATTTAACTTTTTATTTTCTTTTGTTTATAAGATACGCTATAGAAACCTGTTCTTCCTCTTCTCAACCATCATAAAAACAAGCACATAAAACCAAAAATAAAAACAGACAGTGCATCTGAATTGTTTCCTAGGTAATAAGTTCTCTATGCATTTCATAAAATCGTAGGCCACCTCCTATTTCTCAGGAGCTTATGGGAACCATTCTGAGTATATAGTGATTCCTCAAGAAACATGTGCTTGCTCTTGGAGTTGAAAGGCCTTCCCTCAACTGTGATTGGTTTTTCTGAATGAAATATGTCTTCATTTTAAAATTCATAATCCTATACGTAAATGACATTATACAGGCTTGCAATAAACAAATACATACAAAAGTGGGAAATTCTAAATCGCTCTGTTTTATCTGCAAGCCCTATGAGGGCTTGTGATGTCAGAATCAAATCAAAGTAAGCAATAAATGTGACTTGCAATCTTGGTTTTGCATCCAAACTGTCCTGGAGTTATGAAAATATACATATATATATACACGTGCTCTTACTCTCAACTGAGAGTCTAGTTAGGTGGTTCTTGGTTCGGGATCCTGCCCCTGTATCTTTAGACAGCTCCCTAACTGAGTCACATCACGGAAGCCCATTATACCACAGCTGCTTTGGATCCCACCGAAAGTGAGGAGGGGATGTGTCCCTGTCTCAGCAGGTTAAAATATCATCTTGCATCACTGTACCTGCGTGGTCGCTGTTGAAGTTGTACTGCTTCTTGATCCCCACATCTGTTGAAATTGTACTCTGATTTCTGCGAAGGTTTCGATGATGACAGCAATAAACACGTTCTGAAAGAAAATTGCAAACCCCATTTATCAAACAGAGGGAACGAGGACGTAGAGGGCCACTAAGAACAAGCCAAGATGTGCAGGCAGTCTCCTGCAGAAGTACGTCACAGTACCTTGACAAGCCAAGCAAGGAAGAAAATGAGAGTGATGAAGTAGAAGTAGGAACGCCAACGGGGAAAGCTGTCAATGGCTCTGTACATGAGGAACACCCAGCCTTCCTGAGAGGCGGCCTCATAGACTGTGAATATGCTGGTGCCTGTCAGGAGAGACGAGAGCAGGTTGAGTGACACTTGACTTTCAAAATAAGGAAGAATTTTCTTGAGAAGCAATCAATATTTATCCTCTCTCTCTCTCTCTCGCTCTCTCTCTCTGCCCATCCATTTATTTAAAAGGCAGAATAAGAGAGAGAGAGAGAGAGAGAGAGAGAGAGAGAAGAATATCTTCCATCCAATGGCTCCCTACCCAATTAGCTGAAACAGCCAGGTCTGTACAAGGCACAAGCCAAGAGTTTGACATCCATCCTGGTCTCCCATGTGGGTGGCAGGGGCCCAGGTAGTTGGGCCAGAATCAGCTGCCTTCCCAGGTGCAATAGCAGGAAGTTGGATTGAAAGTGGAGAGGTCAGGACTCAAACACACACTCCAGTATGGGTTGCTGGCATCACAAGCAGTGACTTAACATGGTGTACAAGGATTCCAGACTCTATCTGCTCATTTGCTCAATCATAAAAGCCTCTTTAAAGGCATTGAAATTACACAAGGCATTTTATTCATATTGTTAGGATTTTGATAAAGTCATTTCTGACTTCTCTCTAGTATAACTTCGCAATCTCTAGCAATAGAATAATTTTATGTTATAACTTCGGCCGTTAAGTGCATCTATAATGAGCACAAAGAAAGGAACTGTCGAATCCACTATAGATATAATAAAAGAGAATATATACAATTTAACTCTGCCGCTTGTGGCTGAAAAGCACCTGGTATAGTTTTAACCAAAAATGAAACAAATCTGAGAATTAGCTTGAATTCGAAGTAATTTTCTCGTAAGAGTGAAGTATCTTAGGCTCCAGAGCTAACATGAGTATAAAGGAGTCTGCCTTTAGAGTCCATGGTGTTTACTGGATGCCAAAACGTAGGGCAGAATCACCAAACAACATTTTGGACTTTCTGGAATTGTCTCTTTGAAAATACTTCTGTTAATGGAAATAAAGTTTAAAAATGTGTGGACAGATTTTTGAACTTCTGCTCACAAGAATATCTAAAATGCCATGGGGGAAAAGCAGGTTCCATCAGACAACACAATGCTCTGCTTTACAGATGGGGATCTAAAGCAGGTGGATGTGAAGCACCTGGTCCCAGGGCACACAGATAACAGCTGCAGGAGCTAGAACCAGACCTGTTACTCTGGAACCAGACCCCGTGATTAAACTGTGATGATTTCTTGCCTCTGATAACCTTTATATAGTTTAATTTCCCTGTCTGTACATGAGAAAAAACAGAAAGCTCACGGTGCTGTCAGCATTAGATGATTTCATTTCTATAAAACCTTGGCATGTGGTAAATTCTTCAGGTTTTTTCAGTTATCATTGTTATTTTTTTAAACTTTCATTTAGTAGATATAAATTTCCAAAGTACAGTTTATGGATTACAATGCCTTTTTCCCCCCATAACTTCCCACCCAACCACAACAATGGCTTTTTCCCCCCATCCATAATTTCCCTCCTACTCACACCCCTCCCATCTCCTGCTCCCTCTCCCATTCCATTCACATCAAGATTCATTTTCAATTATCTTTTTATACAGAAGATCAATTTAGTATATATTAACTAAAGATTTCATCAGTTTGCCCCCACACAGAACACAAATTGCCAAATACTGTTTGAGCACTAATCATATCATTAATTCACATTGAACTACATATTAATGACAGAGACCTTGCATGGGGAGTAAGTTGTTGTTGACTTAACAAATTGACACTCTTGTTTAAGGCATCAGCAATCTCCCCAGGCTCTAGTCATGAGTTGCCAAGGCCATGGAAGCCCCCTGAGCTCACCGACTTTGATCTTATTTTGATAAGGCCATAGTCAAAGTGGAAGTTCTCTCCTCCTTTCAGAGAAAGGTACTTCCTTCTTTGATGGCCCGTTCTTTCCACTGGGATCTCACTCGCAATGATCTTTCATTTAGGTCCTTTTTTTTTTTTTTTGCCAGAGTGTCTTGGCTTGCCATGCCTAAAATACTCTCATGGGCTCTTCAGCCAGATCTGAATGCCTCAAGGGCTGATCTGAGGCCAGAGTGCTGTTTAGGACAACTGCCATTCTATGAGGAGTCTGCTGTGTATCCCGCTTCCCATGTTGGATCATTCTCTCCCTTTTTAATTCTATCAGTTAATATTAGCAGACAATAGTCTTGTTTATGTGATCTCTTTGACTCTTAGACCTATCATTATGGTCTATTGTGACCTGAAATTGATCACTTGGACCCCAAGTGGTGGAGTTAGAAATGTGCCAGGGGATTCCAATACAATCCCACCAAGGTTGCATATACTAATGCCACCTCACTAGTTATCATTGTTATTATCATGAAATTGAAAATAATTATTCAATACTACTTCATGAGAAAACATAGAATTAAAAATTACTACCAAAAGTAAGTTGTTTATAAAATAAATATGGTGCATAGTTATTCATAAGGCTAGTAAACATTTGTACCTCAGTAAATTCTACTATAAATGAGCTAAATTATTAGAATATAAAGTCAATATCCACCAATATATTTCTAATCACACAGCAATCACATTTACTTATTTGAGAGCAGAGAAACAATGAGAGACAGAGACAGACAGCCCAACACATAAAGGTCTGATTTGCTGATTCATTCTACAAATGCCTGCAATGGTTAGGACTGAGTTGAGCAGCAGGTAGGAGCCAGGAGTGCAACCCAGGTCTCCCATGCAGATGGCTGGGATCTAACTGCTAGAGCCATCACCTGCTTCCTCCCAGGGTCTGTGAGCTGGGGCTGGAATCAGGGTCTGCAAGTGGGAATCAAACTGATGTATGACATGAGAAGCAAACATCCTACCTGGCATTTTAGCCACTACGCTAAGAACCCCGCCCCCACCCCCAGCCCCAGATATTTAAGGCTAGAATGTATGTGGGACCACATGTCCAAACTAAGAAGGGTGGTGTGAAAGTTGGCTGGAACTCACTCTCTCTGAGCCTGAGCACGAAGGAAAAAGACCCAGAGCTTCAAGCAGCCCCAAAGCCAGCGGATCAGCAGGATGATCTAGCAGCAAACGGCGACAAGTGAGAAACAGAAACCAAGAGAAAGAAGGCTGTGGAGAAGCTAATGTATGCCAATGTACATTATATGGACTGTCACTTCCTATTTGCCCGGCATCTCCCTTTCAGAATCATATTTCTAGCATTAGTAAGCCACTGCCATAACAACCGGTATTTGCAAAGCACGTTCAGTTTCAAGATTCTTTTACCCACTCACATGCTGAGGAAATCTGCCTGAGTGGGGAGGTAGGTGGGGATATGGGAGTGAGGGTGGCTATTATCAAACCTGTTTACAGAGAAGGACGAGAAGCTGCCCAAGGTGGAGCGTGGCAGAACCAGAAACTGCACACCCCTCACCATGCATGTAGGAATGGTTTTTTCTAAATGGATTACCATACTACTACCATTTTCCCTTGATACAAGTGAGATTATTAAACTAAAAGTACGTCAGTATAAAATTAAATGAAAGAATAAGGAAGGAAGGAAGGAGGAGGGTGGAAGGGTGGGCATGTGGGAGGGAGACGAGTGTGGCAAGCACCACTATGCTCCTAAGTCGGTATCTATGAAATACATGAGGGTGGCGGCCATGGCTCACTTGGTTAATCCTCTGCCTGCAGTGCCAGCACCCTGGGTTCTAGTCCCGGTTGGGGCGCCAGATTCTATCCCGGTTTCTCCTCTTCCAGTCCAGCTCTCTGCTGTGGCCCGGGAAGAGAGTGGAGGATGGCCCAAGTCCTTGGGCCCTCCACCTGCATGGGAGACCAGGAAGAAGCACCTGGCTCATGGCTTCGGATCGGCTCAGTGCCTGCTGTAGCAGCCATTTGGGGAGTGAACCAATGGAAAAAGGAAGACCTTTCTCTCTGTTTCTCTCCCTCTCACTGTCTAAATCTGCCTGTCAAAAAGAAAAAAAAAAGAAATACATGAAATCTGTTCAGCTTATTTGAATTTAAAAAACTCTAAAAACAAAGAAATTATTTTTTCCTCATTACTCTTAATTTGAGAAGTCATTCTTTTTTTTTTTTTTTTTTTTCCTGAGGGAGTGTGATGGCTCTTTATGCTATATTGAGGAACTGGTGCATGGTGACTTTAAGATGCTGGGGAAAACAGCACAAGCAAAATCAGAAGCCGGCAGAAACAAGGCTGTGCCCATACATCACTCACATACCCTAACAGCATGCCCCACTCACATTCCTGGTTCCTGTTCACTAGAGGGGGGCAATTTTAATGCAAATGATCTGTGCTGCTTATTTTCATCCAGGTATTTGGATGGAAACAGAAAAGTGGCTACAGAAACCCACAATGAACTGCCATTAAAGTTTAGTAGCTGTGCCACTTGAGCAATTTCAGGTAAAATATGGGAATGGTCAAAATAAGATTAAATTTGAGAAACACCAGAAATAATCCCCCCTCCCAGGTATTCTTTTATTCCATCTACAAGGGAAGATGTTATTTGAAATGAGGTTTAAAAAAAAAGATAGCAGCCCATCAAACAGTCTGGAAACTTTGACTTTATTTTTTTCTAATCTGTCAAAAGGGAGGAGAAGAAGGACCCACAGTCCGGATCAAAGAGCAGAATTTGTTGCCTCAGTGAGGTGAGATGTCTGTAAAATATAAACAAAATACTCCCCCAGGAAAATGTTTATTCCTGAGAGAAATGTTTCCCATCCATGTGGAATGCACTAGGAAAAGGCTTTGAAGATGGTACTCATGGTTGCATGGACAAAGGTGATGGACCAAGAGTCTTTTCTCTTTACTTTCTGATTTCTGGCTTTGCAAGAGACAGGAAAAAGAAAATCCCCCTTGCAATGATTTCCCCCTCATTGACCAATATTTAAACTGATACAAAATCAAGCACACGATCCACTCATTTTCTGTGAGAAGTGGAGGATCCTGAGAAAAACTGAAGGTGCTCCAACTGACTTGGTTCCTCCTACCCTCTCTGCTTGCCCCAGGGGCTCCTCCAGCCCAGAATCTCCCCAGGATT